CGTGCAAAAGGTTCTTTTTAAAAAAAAGACTTCACACAGAAGAAATGCAATAGCGTATTATAAACCTCAAAGCTATGGAATCTAAGTCAGACAGAGTATTAGAGTCAAGGGGTCAAACCCTGCCAGGTTTCAGTTGAAGAATCAGATTCACATAGCTTCTCTAATCCTCTCAATATCCCATTAATATAATTATGCTACTTAATCATCCATTCATCTGAGGAACCGGGACTCAAAGAGGGCCATTTCCCAAGGTTGCATGATAGTGAGGACCCCGAGTCAAAGTCAGGTCCATCTGATTCTTCAAAGCCAGCCCTCTTCCAATAACACCATGTTTGAGCCCAGTGAATCCAAAGGCTTCAGAACACTAACAGTTCCACAAAGCTTACCATTGAGATACAGAAAGGCACAAAGAAAAAGAACCCTAAAATACGACAGATTATCTATGTGGGTTTCTCCTCTTACTTGTGTTTCCTATGGAAAAGTCATGGGTGTGTGAAAGGAACACAGCCCAGATAACAAACGCTCTCGCCTGCCTTTGAAGGCTCAGCTTTTGGCCCCTTTCTCTTTCTACTCCTCACTCTCTCCTCAGACCTCGCCTTCTTAGCAAAAGAACTCGTTTCCTCAAAGTGAACCTTTCGAAACCCAGCACCCTGGAAGCAAGGTAAGGCCCAGTGGGAGGGATCTACCCTCCCTCAGGGTGTAATCTGAGCAACTCTGCTAGCAGGCTTGGCGTCTTTGTTCTCGTTCATGGATGGGGTGGATGGTGGGCTGGGGTAGAAATCAGCACCACCAGCAATTCATACAGAACATTTCAGAACATTTTATCGTGGCAATCTCACTGGTTCCCATGATGTAAGGATCATCTGTATTTTAACTCCCAATTTCTCTCTCCATCAATAGTGTCCCCTAAGCTCTAGACTCTTCCCAAAATTTTTATTCATTTACCACCTGGCTGACCGAGGTCTCCCAAGCTTGTCACTTTCTCCTATACCTTCATATTCTACCTATGATCTTCATGTTGACTGATGCGCTACCATCTCGATCCCAAACCATAACTCTGGTTGATCTCCTCATTTCTTCCCATCTAATTAATCCCCATATCGTCAATCTACTCATATATTTCTCTCAGTTTTCTTCCTCCTATTAAATTTCCATTGATGACACTGGTTTCATATTTGTCACCTTGGACTATGCCCCTAACATGGCCTCTGGACTGCTGTGTCTAACTCCAGCCTGAACTTCCTCTAATCCATCCTCCATGATGCCTAAATGATCACTGATAAACAACAATAATAATTATTATTACCATTAATCAAAGGTTTAACTTGTATTGATATGACTTAAATGCTTGTTAAGAATAACAAGGGTGGGAGGCCGAGGCGGGCGATGCTCCAAGGTCAGAGTTCGAAACCAGCCATCCCTGCCTGGTATTTCATAATGAGGAGAGTGAGGCTCAGAAAAGCTTGGTGACTTGCTTGAGGTCACAGGTTTTAGAGATGGAATTTAAACTCACCTTTGATTTCAAAGCTTATGCTATTCTCATTATTTACTGCTTCTTATGTGTAATGCCTTATCTGCTCAAAGTCCTTCACTCTCTCTTCTTCACCAGGAAATAAACCATAAACTCTTAGCTTAGCTAACAAACCCTCCCACCACCTGGCCTCTGCCTTCCCTTCCCACATCATCTTCCAAATAGTCCCTGGTTTGCATTTCTGAACCACCAATGACAGTTACACTGTTCCTATCCACCGCTGGGTCCTACATGGCTCCCTCAGTCAGCCTCCCTCCTTGGGCTGCGGGCCCTTTGAAGGCAGGGGCTAAGTTGTGTCTACCTCTGCATTCCTCAGCACTCAGCACATAGCAGGAGCTACGTAAGTTTGCTGAACTGAATTGAGGAACAATGCCTTGGTCAAACCAGTGAAGAGATGCAAATGAAATACTAAAAAATTCACAGAAAAGACTAGATCTCATTATCAACCAATATTTTTAAGTGCAAGCCACTGTGCTAAAGCTATGAGGAAAGCCACAGATGTAACACAAGTATCTTCTGTCAAAACACCCATATTCAGGATGAAAAAGAAAAACTATCATATTAAGGGATCTGTATCATAGGAGTGGCTTGGATAATGTGAGTAGTGAGTCTGAAGGCCTAAAAAGTTAGAAAAGAGGCCTTATGGGGGGGGAGGGTCAGAAGATAAAGATGAGGTACAACTTAAATGGCAAGAGGTCAAAGGTAGGAAAACAAAGCATAAAGCATTTTTACTAGCCTGGAAGTGATGATCACATGAGAGGACAGAGGTGAGGCAGAAGTGGTAGGCTGGGCTGGACTGTAATGAACTTTGAATTCTAGACAAGCATCATCAGCAATGGGGGAGAACTAGAGGGTTTCTGTCAAGGGGAGTGGCGAGGCAAAAGAACTGTTCTAAGACCTGGTGGCATGTGAGGAGGGCTGAACTGAAAGACGAAAGAACAGAAGTAGAAGAACAACTCAGTGGCTACTGTACCAGTCCAGGCACACAGTTAACACTGCTTAGCAGACACCAGAGAAGCAGCAAGGCTGAGAAAAAGCTAGATGCCAGAAATGAAGTAGGAAGACCTAGCAAAGGTTCTTGTTTCTTGAGGGCAGAAGGGAAGTGGTAGAGGGAAGGATGAAAAAAATCCCCACAAAATTCACCTCTAGACAACCACAACTACCCTAAAAAAATGGGCAGAGAAAAAAAACCAAAAAACAGAGGGGAAAAAAATGAGTTGCATTTTAGACATGTGGATTCTAAGTTCATGGACCAGAAAAGCCATCTATGGTATGCTGGGTTTGAATATAATTTTCCTGTAAAATCTATAAAAACAAAGAGCAACCTGCTCATCTTATTAAAAGTATCCTGACATTTTGGAGACAAGGGCTCCTATACCAATAACTGCGCATTCTGAAGTTAACTGTAATCAGGAGAGTGTGTAACTATAAACTGATTAGCTAAACACATTAATCAGAAATACGACATGTTCTTAAGTCTTGAGTTATATAAACTTTTCTTGACCCACATGACAAGAATGCTTTTTATTTATTTAAAAATTTTTGTTTGTTTTTTTTTTAGACAAGAGTCTCACTTTGTTGCCCAGGCTAGAGTGAGTGCCGTGGTGTCAGCCTAGCTCACGGCAACCTCAAACTCCTGGGCTCAAGCAATCCTACTGCCTCAGCCTCCGGAGTAGCTGGGACTACAGGCACGCCACACCATTCCAGGCTAATTTTTTCTAGATATTTTTAGTTGGCTAATTAATTTCTTTGTGTTTTTAGTAGAGACGGGGTCTCACTCTTGCTCAGGCTGGTTTCAAACTCCTGACCTTAAGCAATCCACCAGCCTCGGCCTCCTAGAGTGCTAGGATTACAGCCACCACACCTGGCCGAGTTGGGTATTCTTAAAGATAGATGGCAGATGCTCTCCCTGCCCATTACTGACAACCTGAAATGTACGACACTGCTAAAGTGTGTGCCAATACTTGAAAGACATTCAACATGCTGAGAGAAGAACAGTAACATAAGAAATAGTATATATTATTATCTCAAGAGCTAGACACTGTCCTGTGCACTTATTTTTTATAATCTCACTTTATTCCCCTAAAACCCCTCCATGGGAAATTTTATTATCTCTGTTTTATAGACAAGAATCTGAATAGGCAGTATATGTTTAACAAGCACCCACTCCATAACCAGCACTAAGCTACTAACTAACTAACCTTTCTTTCAACCCTCTGGTGCTATATTTTTGTTGTGCCCCTCATCTTACTCTGAAAGCATCTATATACTAGTCTTACTCCAGATTACTCTCTGGATGAGAGCAAAAACTGTCATTTAGAAATTTTTGAAGGCCCTACATATCCACTGGCTGGTAAGCTCTCCATAAATACTGCTGAATCAGATGGCCTGTAAACTAATTCTAGAAATTCATAATTAAATCAGAAGGGAGCGTGTGCACACACACATACAAATTGAATAATAAGTAAAAGGAACAGAAATAAGAAGAGGGCAAATAAAAACTGAAAAGATGCAGGATAAATCCTGATGCATGCCAGCATGGTCAATTAAGGACTGCTCTGTCGAACAGATCAATTTCAGAACAGGAATTGATTCATCTGGATTTCGCTATTAAAAAAAAAAAAAAAAAAAAAAAAACAGAACAGGAATTGAAGGTGGAGAGGAACTGAGGGGATGCCAAGGGGAGAATGATATGCAGAGACAAGGAAATGAGCTCACTTGAGAGATGCTGAACTTATTTTTTCCTGGAGAGCTTGAAGCAAGAGAAGGGCCCTGAAGTCTATAACAGATAATAAATATACTCATTTTGGAAATGCACGATCAGAAGAATGGATCATTAACTGCGCCCCAGCAATAAAGAAACCCATGCGGTAGGACTAGCCACGAGTAGTCGCAGTCCAGCATTCTCACCGACACTGTCGTGGCCGCCCCCTCTGGCTGAAAGCTCCAGGAGACGGAGGTCAACCCGCCAGTGGTATTGGTAGACTTGAACTTGCATGTCAGCTTCCCTTGTGTCCCATTAGCCACGAAGATTTCTTTTGGTGTGTAGACTTCCAAGGCTGACACTCTGGCTGTCACTGGAGAGAAAGGAAAAAGGATAGTTTAAAAATAGGATTTAGCATAAATTCTACTGTGCATATTTATCACAGAAGATGACAAAGAAAAGATGCAAGAAAGTTCCCAGATATATACAGTAATCCACTGCCATTATAGTATGCATTTCTGGTAGGATAGTCAATAGCTAAGTACTTCCTACAAACAGAATAGTTGCTGACAGTCTGGGGTTTTTATTGTTTTCGGTTTTTAAGAAAATATTTTTACTAGTTTGGCTATACCTAATAATTATGCTTTTTTAAAATTAAAAGACCTTGTAAAGAGTCCCTCACACTCCAACCCCCACCCCCAGTTTCCCCTATTATTAACCTCTGTCATCAGTGTGGCACATTTGTTTCAACTGATAAAACCCAATATTGTTACATTGTTAACTAAAGTCCATAGTTTACATTAGGGTTGCCTTTTGTGTTGTACATTCTATGGATTTTGACAAATGTGTACAGGGACATGACTCCACCTTTACATTATCATACATAATAATAGTTTCATTGCCCTAAACATCCCCTGTGCTCCACCAACTCATTCCTCCCCTCCTCCCAAACCATTTCTTGGCAATGACAGACCTTTTAATTTTTATTTTTTGAGACAGAGTCTCACTTTGTGGCCCAGGCTAGAGTGAGTACTGTGGTCTCAGCCTAGCTCACAGCAACCTCAAACCCCTGGGCTCAGGCCATCCTTCTGGGGCTGGGCGCGGTGCCTCACGCCTGTAATCCTAGCACTCTGGGAGGCCGAGATGGGCGGATTGCTCAAGATCAGGAGTTTGAAACCAGCCTGAGCAAGAGCAAGACCCCGTCTCTACTATAAGTAGAAATTAATTGGCCAACTAACAAATAGAGAAAAAATTAGCCGGGCATGGTGGCACATGCCTGTAGTCCCAGCTACTCGGGAGGCTGAGGCAGTAGGATTGCTGAAGCCAGGATCTGAGGTTGCTGTGAGCTAGGCTGATGCCACGGCATTCTACTCTAGTCTGGGCTACAAAGCGAGACTCTTGTCTCAAAAAAAAAATCTTCGCCTCAGCTCCCGAGTGGCTGGGATTACAGGCATTGCCACATGCCTGCGTAATTTTCTATATAACTTAATGGCAATTAATTTCTTTCTATTTATAGTAGAGACGGAGTCTCGCTCTTGCTCAGGCTGGTTTCGAACTCCTGACCTCAAGCGATCTGCCCGCCTCAGCCTCCCAGAGTGCTAGGATTATAAGCATGAGCCACCGCGCCCGGCCTAACCTTTTACTATCTCTATATTTTAGCCTTTTCCCGAATGTCATATAGTTGGAATTATACAGTATGCAGCCGTTTCAGATTGGCTTCTTTCACTTAGCAGTATTCACTTAAGCTTCCTCCATGTCTTCTTGTGGCTTGATATCTCATTTGTTTTTATTACTGAATAATATTTAATTGTAGGGATGTACCACAGTTTATTCATTCACCTATTGAAGGACTTCTTGGTTGCTTTCCTAATGCTCTATTTTTAATGATATGAAGGCCATATTTTTACTTCTTTAAACAGTTTTCACATTCACCTGTTACACTGCAGTTGTTATCACACTGAACTTCTCACCTATATTTAAAGCAATTAAAACTATTCTAAGTAAGATATAACTATTTATTTATTTATTTTTGAGACGGAGTCTCACTCTGTTGCCCTGGCTACAGTGCTGTGGGGTCAGCCTAGCTCACAGCAACCTCAAACTCCTGGGCTCAAGGGATCCTACCTCAGCCTCCCAAGTAGCTGGGACTACAAGCATGTGCCACCATGCCCAGCTAACTTTTTCTATATATTTTTAATTGGCCAATTAATTTCTTTTTATTTTCTGGTAGAGATGGGGTCTCGCTCTTGCTCAGGCTGCTTTCAAACTCCTGACCTTGAGTGATCCTTCCGCCTTGGCCTCCCAGAGTGCTAGGATTACTGGTGTGAGCCACCGAGCCTGGCCTATTACTTACTTTTAAGCCTTGTTATTATTTAACTGATCCTTTTCCTATAAAGGTCTTAATGTAGAAAGATGCATAACACATTTGGTTTTGTTAGTGAAATCTTACCTACATAAGATTTCAGTGTGCTAGGTATGTGTGTGTGTATTCAAGAAATAGCTGACTACACTTACCACATTTTCATTTCACCTATCCAGTTTTTTCAGTTAGCCTAAGCCCAGGAAATAGTAATTAAAATATATCTATCACTTGGAATATAAAAATAGCTCTTTTTTCAAGATCTGCAACCAGAGGCAACTGCAAGAATTGTTAAGGATTGCTGCTAAAAGAAGGTAGTCTTCACTCAAAAAGAGACAACTTCACAAACTAAATGAAGGTTAGAAAGAAACTCTTTGGCCTAAAATTGGTAACTTAAAAACACCCATTTTCAAAATAAGATATGTTTTGAAGAAATCGTTTGGAATAAATATCTGCAGTGTTCCAATTATTCTTAGAATGTAACAGACGGGCAGAATAAGGAAGGGTATTGTCACCCAGAACTGACAGTCATTTTCAGAATTTTTTCTTCTTGAGGGCTGAACTATGACTCTGGGCCAAGGAGAACAAGAGTACTCCCCCGTTCCTCCCAACCATCTTCCAAATGTTTGTTCTCAGGCCACAAGGGACACTTTTGGCTATTCTTTTAAATAAACTGATAGCCACAGTGTATCAAGCGGATTTTTTTCTGCTAAAGAGGGTAGATTATTATTATAGGAAACAATGGATTATTATTTGTGGTCCAAACCTCAAAACAAGCCTTTCTTTCAGATAGAGAAGAAAACAAAAGACTGCCTTGCTATTGTGGGTAGGCAGAAAAGCAGCCCCAGGGCACTTGAGTTCAAAATGAAGGACAAAGCACAAGACTAAACAAGTTGACCAGCTAGTTCCAGGAAGCAGCACTGGTTTGCAACCCTTACTCATTTCACTGTGTGATTTTGACTAGGTGATGAGCACTGCAAGGAAAGCCACAGTCTCTAAAGGCCATGAATAAGGTTTCTCAAGGATTTTCTTAAACCAGGTCCCTGCCTCAAGGCCTGGTTGCAGGAACTGTTACCCTGAGACGGTATATAAAGATGGGACTAGGCCACATGTTGAAATTTACAGTCACAGAATTTCAAGCAAAAAGGCTAATCAAATCCCTAATTGGCTTTTAGACAATCTATTTAAGACATACTTGATTTAGTTACACCAAAGCTGGCTAATAAACAAGTGGCTTTTAAAAAAATATACCATCACTCTTTGGCTAATTTGAACCTGTGGCTCTTAGACCCAGGATTATGAATTCCAACTCTAGTCAATCAGCTAGCACCAGAAAAAGCAAATGATTCCATACACAGGAAGTTAACTTCCTCCCTGACTGTCTATCCTTTTCTCCAATACTACTCTTGTACCCACTCTTGTACTCATAAGATAAACCTTCTAAAATGCTGGTCTCTTTGTTTATTTTCTCTTTTCCAATAATCTGGATGAGATCAGGCCTATCCCCGCCACTCTTTCCTATGGTCACACTCTAAACCAGGGCTTCTCAACTCAGCACTGTTGATAATTGGCCCAGATAATTCTTTGCTGGGGGAACTGTCCCGTGCATTGGAGAATGTTGAGCAGCATCCCTGGCCTCCACTACATAACAGTAGCAACCCTTCCATCTCCAGTTGCAATAACCAAAAATGTCTCCAGATATCACAACTGCCCCCTCAGGGGTGAAATCATCCCTGGGTGAGAATCATCGTTCTAGACCCTATCGACATGCGTGCACCTGCTCCACAATCTCAAGTTCAGGCTTCTCTATTCTCTGACTAATCACCTCCTAGCTTTCCCATATCTCCAAAACTCCAACTTCACTGGTCTTTCTGCCACATCAGAAACTAAAATCCATCAATCCTCCAATCTCCGTACTGTCTTGTATCCCAGCATGTCATTTGCTTTACTCAGATTAGACACATGGTCCATCATTATACTCACCCCTTGCATGCACGATCAGCTCCTTACCTCTCTCTCCCTTCAGTGCATTCACCTGGCCAAGCCTCAATGCTGGCTAAATCTAATTCTGTACCCACTCTGCTTCTCTACCAGGGTGGCTGACTGTGGCCGTAGAAAAGTACACAATCCCACTGACTGGCTTCACCTTAAAATGACCATTAACTTCAAGGGGACTCCTTTTTTTTTTTTTTTTTTTTGAGACAGAGTCTCACTCTGTTGCCCAGGCTAGAGTGAGTGCCGTGGCGTCAGCCTAGCTCACAGCAACCTCAAACTCCTGGGCTCAAGCTATCATCTTGCCTCAGCCTCCCGGGTAGCTGGGACTACAGGCATGCACCACCATGCCTGGCTAATTTTTCATATAATTTCTTTCTATTTTTTTAGTAGAGACAGGGGTCTCGCTCTTGCTCAGGCTGGTCTCAAACTCCTGAGCTCAAACTATCTGCCCACCTCAGCCTCCCAGAGTGCTAGGATCACAGGAGTGAGCCACCACGCCCGGCCTGAAGGGGACTCTTAATGCAACCAGGCAATCCATCCACATTTCCCTAATCCATCTACTCTCCCTTTTCCCAGAGGACTATTTTAAACCTTCCGCTCTAAACTCAAATTTCCATCCTCCCTCTCCAGCGTCTTACTCTCTGCTAATGACTGTGCTTCCTATTTCAGAGAAAACAGAAGCCATCAGAAGAGAACTTCTCTATGTCCCCACACCACACCTTCCTCCCTCCCTGCATCTGTGCCCACATGTCCTCCCTTCCCTCCACTGCAATGTAGATGTCTGCACTCCTCTCCAACGTCAATCCCTCCACTGCACCCTGCATCTCATCGTCTCTTGCCCACCTAAGGACATTGATCCAGCAATTCTCCCTTCTCCTGAATTTCTCATTCACTATTGAATTACTACCATAAGCCATACAGTTTATCAAGTATAAAATGTCCGATTTCCTTAAGTACTAGGTTAGACAGCTGATATCTCTGACATTTTACTTTTACACATCTTGTTTTATGTTTATTGT